ACCAACTAGAGAAAGCTGAAAATGGTATGAACACCAACCAAACGGAGTAATTGAATCAGATAATGTAAAGATTCTCTGGGATTTTAACATACAGTGCGATCATGTGATTGAATGTCGAAGACCTGATATTGTAGTGGTTTTAAAGAAGGAAAAGGAATGCAAGATCATAGACATCGCAGTTCCAGGGGACTGTAAAATTGGTATAAAAGAAACAGAGAAGGTAGAAAAGTATGAGGATTTGAAAAGAGAAATTCGGAAAATATGGGCAATGAAAAAAGTAGAAGTCATTCCAATAGTAGTAGGTGCTTTAGGAGCAGTTAGTAATAAACTGGATAAGTGGATTGAGAAATTGGGATTACATATAAGAATAGAACTTCTACAAAAAACAGCATTGTTAGGGACGGCAAGAATACTGAGAAGAAGCTTGGAAAGCTAAAATCTTTGGGACCTGAGGCTACTGGTTGTAGCCAGCTTCCAAGGAAAAGACATAGCCAGCATAAGAACAAAGCTGTGAAAAACATGTAATAATAATAATAATAATAATAATAATAATAATAATAATAATAATAATAATAATAATAATAATAATAATAATAATAATAATAATAATAATAATAATAATAGCTTTAATTTGAGCAAATCGTAGACATAAGAATATTGTATCTACTGAATTATTTACACTAAATTCTAAAAAGTCATCATTATAAAAATATGTAAGGCTATACATTCCCTATATTCTTGTTAATCATATTGTTCCATTTCACAGCAGATTTAACAATAAAACTGTTTCGAAATCTATTAGTTTTATATGTTGGCTACTGGAATTGTATTCCAGAGGCCTGAGACCTAGTGGAATAATGGGTTTGATAAGTAGGTGGTAAAAGGTCATGTTGTTTATGGTTTTGCTTCAAAAACATGTCACATAGATCTTCCAATCTCACACATAGCCGAGGGATGCCAGCAAGAAAATGAAAATTATATAATAATTTGCTTGAGATCATTTGCTGAGGCTTCCGGTTAAGCTACAATATTTGCTAAAAATGTTAAAGTTATTCATTTTCTTAATTCAGAAATGATATTGCTTTCGTCAGTTTTGGTGCTGAGCGTTTTAAGCAATGTGTATGGAGATACTGGTTTCACCGCTAATCCAACAAGTATCGCTAATCCAACAAGTATCGCTAATCGAACAACTATCGCTAATCCAACAAGTATCGCTAATCCAACAGGTGAGTTTATAGATTTTATATACGCTTGCTTTTGAATACCACATCTTTATAACAACAGTTGCGCCAAACCATGTACTACCATAAGTTTTTACTAACACATATTTATTTAATGGGAAAAAAATCTTTCAGACTGGTTCTAACAAGACTGGTTTGCTTGAAGATAGCGGGCGTGAAAAGCGTGCAAATGATAGGGAGACAGACGACTCAAACTCGAGGCACCACAATGCATGGTTGGCGCCGAGTTGTGAAATTGTGAAAATTTGGAGTCTATTATAAGTTTTTACTACCAGATATTTATTTAGGGGGGGCGACTCCCACGAGGCACCACATTACTGGTTTTCTTGAAGACAGGGGCTATTATAAGTTTTTACTAGCAGATATTTATTTAATGGAGTCTTTTGGAGAAGATCTCGTATACAATAAATACGTCATGTTCCTTCAAGATGGGCAAGCCTATGCAAGTATTTTCGTGTTCATGACTGTGAAAACAATCAATTTCTAAAGAAATAAATAATGACAATAATTTTGAATTTGCATAGCGGGACTAAATTTTTGGGCTGGCTACGCCACTGCGCGCAAGTTATCTTTACGTGCTGGAAGAGAAAACGACATCACGTCTTCACCACACTGTTTTGTCAACACAGCAGTAGTGAACTAATTAAAAGTATGGTATTTCAGTAAAAGAACTTGGAACAAAAATAAACAGACATGCTGCTTGAATTATATTTTAAACATTCTATAAAGTATCTTGCGAAATTTGCTAACTATTAATAATGTGTAGTGCGACACACCAGGGGAATCGTAATCGCATAACGTCCAGCAACAATACTTTACACAGTAAATAGACTATACACGGCAATAAAATTTTAGTGACAGATTAATATAGAAATCTTACTAAGGTAGCCTTTTCATCATGTTTATTTTCATTTGCGCTATATTTTTTCGTCCATCATCTACCATTCCAGTAGACGCAGTGGTGTCAAGTAACGAAGTAAATATACTTCGTTACCGTACTTGAGTACTATTTTTAAGAAGTGAGCATGTAACAAATTAAACTTTTTTTGGAGTACTTTTACTTGGAGTGAAGTCGTTTTAAGAAGTAACGTTTTACTTCGTTATTTTTATTGTGGCGAAGTATTTCGTTACTTTCTAACTTTTGTTTAATTTTACGTGATTTATTCATGATTTTTTTTAATTTTGGTGAGGTGATACGACCGCTACGTACGTTTGGTATCCCTCGTTTGTGGCTTACTTATGAGCATTATTTATTTAATGGCTTTCTTGTATCCTCAATGGGGTCTGGAAAGTAGATAAAGCCGTGACATTTTGTACATTAAGTACACGCATATAATGCGTGTGTCGTGTTGTGTCTTTTGTATGTCAATTCATTGGAGAAGTGATCCCCCTCCCCCCTACATGCTACAGACGATAGTACTTTTACTTTTTACTTCAAGTATTTTTTAAGGATACTTTGTACTTTTTACTTAAGTACGTTTTGCCTCCAGTACTTTTTACTCTTACTCAAATCGTTTTATTGTTAATTTCTTCTATTTTTATTCGAGTACAAATTCAAAGTAATTTAGGCACCACTGGTTACTATTGTACTAAAAAAGTCGTCCACAAATGTTTTTTATCCCTAGACATCAATGAATGTTCCCTATCGATTAATAATTGTCATTCCAACGCTTCTTGCACCAACATTAGTGGATCATCTTTCTGCACTTGTGACAGTGGATATACTGGTAATGGAACTTTTTGCCAAGGTAAATACACAATGCCCATCTTTCGACCAGAATGACAGAATAGAATATCTATATCTTTGTAAAACGTTAATGCCACTTATTTGTTATAGAAATAGATGAATGTTCTCTATCTCTTGACGACTGTCACCCAAATTCAAACTGTACTAATATTGATGGATCTTTCCTGTGTACTTGTGATAGTAGATTTGAAGGAAATGAAAGTCTTTGTGAAGGTAAACGAAAACGTAGTGAGTTGCGAATCGGATCAGATTAGATAGTAGCAACTAGCAAGGTTGATGGATAATTAAAATCCGAATTCCGATCTGAAATGTTTTAATCCGAATACTGGTCCTGTTCAATCCGACAAAATATGAATTCAAATTTTACGACCAATTTGATGTTTTGATTTTAATCTTTTTATTTGCAATAAATACGATGCAGCACAACCTCGTTCCCTGGCTCTTTCCTAAGCAACACAGATTTCCTTCTGGATATACACTGCGTTATCATGAGGGTAATTGGATTCAAATAAAAGCCGAGACAACAAATAGATAACATATTACCAAAATCGTCCTAAAAGTTAGAGATATACAAAGACCAATTATTATATAACAATTAATCCCAATATATAAAATTAAAATTAAGGAGACAACACGTGGTCGCCTTCAAACCTGGTTCTAATAACACCGCGATCAAACGTATAGCGCGTGCGCAAGTGTACGGCTGAATGGCGCGGTAAACGTTTACCAAAATAATAGGAGTAAGAGCGATAAAAGAAAAGCGTTTATAAATAAAGAAAATGCAGAAGCTATATGATATGGAATTTCGCCGCTTTTTGCTTGTATCAAGACGAAGTTACACTGAGTTTAAACACTCGTAATTCCCTTTAGAGCTTTTGTCAGAGCTTCTTGAAGACAATACTATTTCCAGTCTTTTTGAGTACAAGTAGTAAATATGCGCAGACGTTCGATCGCGTTGTTTATTATAACTGGCTTGTCAACAGCCGTAAAAGGATTGGACATTGTTCAATAGTTCAAATGTTTCCGCTGCCACGTGCATACTGAATGCAAGACTAATTGACCAATCATATATATTAGCAACGTGTACTTATTGTTATGTAAATGCATATGCTGGCTTATTTTAAAACAAATAAATATTGGTTCGGGTTGAAGTGTTCTCAATTTTCAACTTCCGACCCATAGACTCAGTCGAATTGTATGTATTGTCCAAGGAGATCATCACCCCTTGGTTCACGTCTATGTCAAAGCATAGTTAATAGAGGGGATGGTTTGGAAACTCATTAGCAATTTAGCATTACAATAAACCTCGCTATCTATGTTTTTGTTCAGGTTTATGCAAAAATGTGGTCTTTCATCGTCACGTGCGTATTGTATTTTTGTTCAACCAGCCAATAGCAACGGTTTTGTCCAATTGCTCATCCATGACTTTAACAATAGAACATTTTGAACATTTCTATTGGTTGGCTTGAGAAAAATACAATACGCACGTGACGATAAAAGACCACATTTTTGCATAAACCTGAACAACATAGATAATGAGGTTTATTGTGATTTTATTGTAATGCTAACGAGCTAGCTTCCAAACCATCTGTTTTGAAACATGAACCCGTTCGTATATATACTTTATTAAACTGACCCTATTCCTAAGTACACAAGCTATTATATACCTGTGGTACGCCCACAGTCTGCATTGCTAATTACTATTTACTGAATTACAATATTCTAATTATAACATCTCTCTCCTTAAAGAAAGTAATATATATTTTTTTTGTGTTCTTTTTGTACTTTGTCCTCTGTATCTACGATTCTAATAAATAACTACTAAAGTCTCTAACCTAAAGGTTCATAACACAAATATTTATATATATGTGTCCAATGTCATTATTATCAAATATAGTTAATTAAATATGTTTCAATATCTCTGGAAAATTGTCAATATTCCTCAATGTACCGTTTTGGTTTCCTTATAACACGTCCGCTTGAGGTATGGCTTGGCGTATTCTGTAACGTTCTTTCTGGATTTCTTCGATCTGCCAATCTTCTTGACAATTCGCTTGTTTCTGGATTGATCTCAGGAACAACTTCAGGAATCGCTTGAAAAATGTCGTCTTCAAGAATGTCGTCAGAAACTGCTTTAGGAACAGCTTGAAGATGTCGTCTATTTCTCCGCATCTTTTTCCCCTCTGGAGTGTCCACAATGTATGATCTTGGTGTAGATCCATATCCACTGACAACTCCAACAGGGCTCCATTTCTTCTGATTATCGGTTTTCACCCGAACAGTTTGACCTGGTTCCAAATCAGATAAGGACTTCACACCATGCCTCTTGTTATAAGCATGACTATATCTTTCTTTCGATTCCTTGTCTACTTCGCGTACAGTCGGAAGATCTGGTCAGGCTGGTAACAGATTACGACTAAGTGTTGGAATAGTTGTGCGAATCTGTCTTCCCATGATCAATTGACTAGGACTTACACCTGTCGCTGGAATTGGAGTTGCTCGATACACCATCAACGCGAGGAACGGATCCGTTTGCTTCAAGATTCTCTTGGCTATCTTGACAGCACTTTCCGCTTCTCCGTTTGTCTGCGGATAATGTGGACTAGACGAAACATGGAGAAACCCATACTGAACGCTAAACGATCTAAAATCCTCTGAGAAAAATGGTGGACCATTGTCACTTATTAGGATTTCAGGAACTCCCCATCTTGCGAAAATGCTCTTCAACTTAGCTATCACCGTCCTGCTTGTTAAATCTGGTACATAAACAAGCTCAAGATACCGGGAGTAATAATCTACTACGACCAAATACTTCTTTCCGTCTAATTCAAGTGCATCGACCGCTACTTTCTGCCAAGGACGCTCGGGTAACGGTGTTGGTTTCAATGGCTCTCTTCTTTGTGATGGTTGGTTAATTTGGCAAAACTCACAACGTGAAACCTCCTCTTTAATGTCCTTGGAAATACCAGGCCACCAAACGGAGGAATTCGCACGTGCCAAGCATTTCGTCACCCCAAGATGACCATCATAAATCCTCTGAAGCATTTCCATTCTCATTGAAGCTGGAATGACTATTTGATCACGATAAATTAATTTCCCTTCGACGCACGAAAGTTCACCACGATAAGGAAAGAAACAACAGAGATGACGTTAAATCTACGCAGACGCATCAATAGGCGTTGACAACGGATCGGAACTTTGTCTAGGGTTTGCTGATTTATCAACGGTACGAGAGGCTTATGGTCTGTTCGCAATTCAAATACGGGAAGGCCAGACAGATAACGATAGAACTTCTCACAGGTCCAAACTGCTGCAAGGCATTCCTTCTCAATTTGCGCGTAATTCTGTTCCGTTTGTGTTAAAGTCCGAGAACAAAATGCAACCGGTCGTAAAGATTTATCATCTCCTTCTTGAAGTAACACACCACCGAGTCCGTAACTACTGGCATCAGAACTGACTACCGTCTTACGATTCGGGTCGTAAAATGCTAACACAGGAGCAGAAGATATCAGCTGCTTCACCTTCTCGAAAGCTTCTGCTTGGGACGGGCCCCAAACCCATGTGGAACTTCCTTTTAGAAGATCATTTAAAGGCTGTAATACCGTCAACAGATCTGGCAAAAACTTCCCCAAGTAGTTGATCATACCTAACAATCTTTGTAATTCAGAGACACTGGTTGGAGGCGAAAACTCGACGATGGCTCGCACTTTTTCAGGGTCGGGTTTAACGCCATTTTTACCCACGCGATGACCAAAATATCCCAGCTCTTCTTTGCGGAATTCGCATTTCGATTTGTTCAACTTGAGTCCAGAACTTTGTACGGTATTCAGGACTTCTTCCAAATTAGAGTCATGTTCCTCAACCGATTTCCCATATACCAAAATGTCATCCATAATCACTTTGGTACCAGGTTTCCCCTGAAGTAGATCGGTCATCAATCTTTGGAAAATTTCCGGAGCGGAGGATATCCCAAAGGGCGGTCTTCGAAAACAGAATCGACCAAACGGGGTAATGAAGGTCGTCAATTTAGAGCTTTCAGGATGTAAAGGGATCTGCCAAAATCCACTAGCAGCATCTAATTTTGAGAACACTTCGGATCCATGAAGTGAAGGCGCAATATCATCTAAACTGGGCAAAACATATCTTTCGCGTTTAACAGCCTCATTTAGTTTCTTCATATCAACACAAATTCGTACTTGACCATTCTTCTTTGGGACTGGGACGATAGGGGCACACCACTCAGTTGGCTCTGTCACCTCTTCAATGATCCCTTCGTCTTTCATTCTTTTCAACTCGGCTTCCACCAATGGCAGTAGAGGAAAGGGTATACGCCTCGGGGTACTCACACTGTAAGGTTTAGCATTATCGTGTAAATGTATCTTGACGGGTTCACATTTCAAGAGCCCTATATCTCCAAATACGCTGTGATCAGTAATTTCATGCACCCTTTTAACCAAACCCATTTGAGTGGAAAGTTCTCGACCCAGCAAACAGTTCACATTTTCTCCCCGAACAACAAAAATACGAACTGAATATTCCACCAATTTATATGATAAAATTGCAGTAATTTCACCAATACATGCAATTATTCCCCCAGGACCTTGAAGGACAGCTGTTGTTGATTGAAGGGGTGGACGTGGTACTAAATTACTGTAAATGGCTTCTGGTATGACTGTTATATCAGCTCCGGTATCTATCTTAAATTTAGTTGGTTGCCCATTCAACTTAAGGTCAACTTGCCAGGGATCTTTGTCCCGGTTACATGACATAACGGAACCCAAAAAGAAAGTTTCGTCCCACTCTCGGACAAGTTCGTCCGACTTCTTTGAAATTTCACCAACAGCTTTCCTTTGTACAGTTTTAGTTCTACACACAGCGGCAAAATGCCCTATCTTAGCACATTTTCTACATTTCTTACCTCTTGCAGGACATTGTGACTCATTAACATGCTTTCTATTGCACCTACCACACCGCTGTTGTTGTTGAAATGATAACGTCTGTCTTTTGTTCCAATCACCTCGGCGATAATTCCTTTGTCGTTGCACTTCGTCAATCTGCTTTGTCTCTAATGACTCACGCTCGATCAATTGGCTTTTAACTAACTCCGATTGTCTTGCTATTTCTACCGCCGATTGTAGATCCAAACCGGCTTTCATCTGTAACCTTTGCGACACGTTTTTATCTAATAGTCCAATAACTATCCGATCTCGAACTTGTTCGTCTCGTGCATCGGCAAAATCACAGTTCTCTGCCAATTCATACAGGCTTCGGATGAACGCTTCAACAGTTTCTCCTGCATGCTGTCGGCGTTGATAAAACCGGGCTCGCTCGTGAATTACATTTCGTTTCGGGACAAAATAGGCATCAAATTGTGCTAGAACTGTCTCATATTCTTCTTCTTCGCCTTTCTCAAGTCTAAAGGTTTTATAGACGTGTTCTGCTTGCTTTCCCATCGAGTATATAAGCGTGCTGACTTGAATTTCATCGTCTTCTTTGTTTAACTTCGTCGCTATTCTATAACGCTGAAAGCGCTGTTTCCATTCAGGCCACAGTTGTGGCTTAGCAAATTCGAAGTTTTCAGGCGCGTTTATCTTCAACATATTGAATATCTCACTCCTGACACCATGTTTTGAAACATGAACCCGTTCGTGTATATACTTTATTAAACTGACCCTATTTCTAAGTACACAAACTATTATATACCTGTGGTACGCCCACAGTCTGCATTGCTAATTACTATTTACTGAATTACAATATTCTAATTATAACACCATCTCCTCTATTAATTAACTATGGTCAAAGGGGACTACATGCTACCAGTTAAAGGGAAATGGCAATATTTTTTTTATTTTCTCGTTTGAAAGAACGTTTAAAACCATATAGAAAAATCTTTTACCGTTTTTTCATATCTTGCTTACTTCTATAAATATTTTAATTGAAAGAAATGAAATGTCCGCCATCTTGGATTTTGGTAGATATGCATGCATGTTACGTCACAACAAGGGTCACGCAATATTTTTATCTAGACAACCACTAATCATTTTGCACTCAAAATTATACTCTGTATGCGCTTGAAAATATCGAGAACACTCAAAACCTTTAAAACATCTACCAATCAATATTTGGTCAGCAACGAATACTTTTATATGGTTAATCCCTGTTGTGATGTCACCAAAACTACCGTTAATGAGATAAAAAAAATATCCAAGATGGTCGACATCTCATTACTTCAAGTGAAAATATTTCAAGAACTAAGCGGGATATGAAAAATCGGTAAAAGAAGTTATTGGATAGTTTTAATTGTTCTTTCAAATGGGAAAATAAAAAAATATATTGCCATTTTCCTTTAAGCAGGGCCCTGTCGGGGATTATCACCAATAGGGCAAATCAGTCTCTCCTAGCAGGTCTTGTACATACTCCTGTGGGATGAATACTCAATAAACCTTATGTTTTGAATATTAAAATGTTTATTTTCGGAGTTACCGTTGTTTTATATCTTTAATATTCAAAACAAAAGGCTTATTGAGAATTTGGGTTGACCAGAGTTTGAGAGTATAGTGTATATAATCGTTCACTCCTCTCTGATCCCATTTTCCCACAATAATTTATTGTGTGTTGGTGGGATCATTAACTCTGATTCCATCACACCACCTCCCTCATTGCAAATGTTGCCTTCACAATCGTGATTGAATAATATACGAAAGAAAACAATCTGCAAAAACCTAAGCTGTAAAATTCCGATTGAAGCAACAAATTTAAACATATTTTGTCACGTCAACGTTATATAAATTAGGAAATGCATCCGTCCAATTCGATCCGACGTTTGGCAAACTGTACTGCTGTAATAGCTAACATGCAGGACAAAATGTAATATTTTCTGTATTGGTGTAAATGTACTCAGGTGAATAAGGTGTGTGCTTTTTAGTTTCATAACTAAAGGACTATAGTTTTATGAAAACTATAGTTCTTTACCAATACACTATAATTTTACGAAAACTATAGTTCTTTACCAATACATTATAGTTTTATGAAGACTATAGTTCTTTACCAATACACTATAGTTTTATGAAAACTATGGTTTTTACCAATACACTATACGGTAGTTCTGTGAAAACTATAGTTCTGTTCCAGTTAACTATACTTTTCAAAACTAAAGGATTATATATAGTTTTATAAAAACTATAGTTTTTACCAATACATTATAGTTCTATGAAAACTATAGTTCTGTACCAGTACACTATACTTTTATGAAAACAATAGTTCTTTACCAATACATTATAGTTTTATGAAAACTATAGTTCTTTAGCAATACACTATATATAGTTTTATGAAAACTATATAGTTTACACAATAGTTCTATGAAAACTATAGTTCTGTACCAGTAAACCATAGTTTTCATAACTAAAGGACTATAGATTTATGAAAACTATAGTTTTTACCAATACACTATAGATCTATGAAAATTATATAGTTCTGTACCTGTGAACTATAGTTTTCATAACTAAAGGACTATAGTTTTTTGAAAACTATAGTTCTTTAAAAATACACTATAGTTTCTATATATATAACTATAAAGCAGTGCCATGCAGTGGCAAAGCCAGCCCGACAATTTGGTCATGCCATGCAAATTTTAAATAATTATAATATATTTAATTTCTTTATAAATTTATTGTTTTCACGGAAATATTTATGTAGCATGACCAAATTGTCGGGGTGACTTCACCACTATATATACTATAAAGGACCCTACATAATCCAGTTACTGCACTGTAAAAACTGATTGGTTAAAACAAACCAATTTTTTATGTCGCAATTAAATTTGTTTTTTGACTTTTAATTAATTGGTCAAAAAATTGTATTTACTTAACTGGTCAAAATTTCACAGTTTGAGTTAATTTTAAATTCTGCATGAGTTCATGGAAACTATATTTGAAAAATATTCATAGTGTTTGTGGAGGTAGGTGTTCCGGTACATGGGCAGACTGGAAAGAAACAAATTAGGGGGGAAGGATTTTCTCCCACTTTACTGAAAAATGTCCGTGTAAACTTTCCCAAATTGTTGTCGATGGAGGTGGGGAGAGATGTCGACGAAAAACCTTTTCCTTTTAATCGTGTTAAAATTCCTCATTACCTTTACACAATTATTTTATCGACCGCCATATTTTTGAAATTTTTGTTCAGGGCCTGTTTGTATGATCCCTCCTAGACGGAACGGAACGTTTTCATCCCGCCTAGACGGGAAACTCGCCTAGTGTTTATGTGGACAAACGTCATATTTTTTGTTGCAATGAAGGCATTTACGCATGCTCAAAATGGAAAGGTTCATCCCGCCAAGCCGGGATGAAGTGTTTACAGTATATGGGAATTTTCCATCCCGACTAGACGGGATGAAGTGTTTATATGGGAATTTTTCATCCCGTTTAGGCGGCATCTGTTGCCGAGATCCCGTCCAGGCGGGATAAGTGACGGGATCATATAAACACTCTTTAGAATTTGTATTACGAGCGAGATCTCGGTAAGCATCCTATTCCGCCTGGCCGGGATCATATAAACAGGCTCAGTTAATTTTTATCTGGTCAAAAGATGAATATTTTAAATGAAAATAACGTATTTTAATGAAGATGGAACATCAGGGAGGACCGAGTAACATACAGGTAAGAATAATGTTATGTTTTCTATATAATAGAGTAATTTTGAAACGAAATATTTACCATCATCATTCGTAAATTTTGAGCATGTGACACGGCTTAAATATATTTGAATTTGCCGCGACAATATTTGCATTATTACGATATCATGATATAAATACATTAATTTTATACAAAGGCCAACATTTGACGCAGTTGTAATGCCAAATAGTATAGCTGTGTATATGGCAGATTGTATTAATTTAAACAGTGATCCTTGTATAGAATATATACTATAGCTTATTAAATTGGCAGCTAGGTCAATCCTCATCATATGCCTACAGGCATGCCTCAGCTAAACTTGGTTTGAGAGAATTTATTGACATGTATCAACTGCTATTTTCATAACTTAAGATTTTGGTTTACGAAACACAAACAGTGCTCAATACCATATAGATAGAGCGTAATATAGTTTTCCGTTTTACCTCAAAATACCACAACAGTCTGTTTCATCCGTATAGGAATCATCAGGTGGTGAGTAATTTCGAAATTGTAGGTTGCTTTCAGCTTAGTCCCAGGCTCTCTCTCTATTCGCTGCTTTGATATATTTAAATAAGTCTTAAAAGTTTTATGCCTGGGTGTGCTGTGCGGAACGCTTCAGCGAGAGAGCCTAGCAGATTTCGGTAAAATGGTCCC